ATATAAGTAAATGTAAAATTTCCAATTTAAATACTCAAAGGTTTACACTATATTAACCAATACAGAAATAACTAAAAGAATAAGAATACAATTGCTTTCTTCAAAGAATAAAAAGTAAAACTATTAAGAAAAAGTTTTTGACAATTGGTGTTATATTTAAGTGTTTCCAATTAGTTGGATGTAATTAACCCGATGTAAACATCGTGTGAAGTGCCAGACAGTTGCAACTGTCTGGCACTTCATCCAATAAAGAAAGTCTGAAAAATAAGTAATATTGGAGTGAAAAACGCTGATGCACACTTTTTAGATTTTTTAGTCGTGGATGGAAACTGAAGGTACCCATCATTTCAAATACTCAATTTGCCATTTGATTCTCAAATGGCAAGTTGAATATTTATGAATCATCAAAAGGGCAAATGTAGAATACGAGTCAGCAGTTGTTCAAGCCTCAAAGCATAACCTAAAGTTGATTCACGCCTACATAAATAAATTGCAGAACGTAAAAGGTAGAATAAGAGTTTTAGAGGACGGTAAAGAAAAAAGCACAGTTGAGGGGGTTGAAAGGGGTCGAATTTTAAATGACTACTTTTGGTCTGTTTTTGTAATTAGGCTGCACGGTCTAAAGCCAGATTTCGAACCCCGCAGGTAATTGACAAATACCACAAAGACTACAAAAGTAGTCTATAACACGTGATGAAGTACAGAATTGACTACATTTATTTATAATACATATTTACAGTATATATATATATATATATATATATATATATATATATATATATATATATATATATATATATATATATATATATATATATTTTTTACTAAGTCTCTGCTTTGAATTTGTTTTTTACTATTTGGATTTTTTTTACTATATTGTAAACAGTACTTTTTTGTGTGAAATATTGGTTGATTGAGTTTTCATTGCATTAATAAAATTTTTAGCAACATTTGTGTAAAAGTCTAAAAGCTTATATTTATAACATGACATATTAATAATATTAGATTATAATATGATATCATAGTTTAATACATATTTTATATTAATATAATGTAAATGTTTTTAAGTTTTATTTGATTATTTTAATATTTCTTGTTTGTTTGCTTTATGTTATAAAGGAAATTTTTAGCTTTTTGCTCAAAGCAAAAAGCTAAAACTATCTACTTTAACATGGTATATATATATATATATATATATATATATATATATATATATATATATAATATATATATATATATATATATATATATATATATATATATATAATACAATAAGTCGTATATGCATCGGGCATGCATATCCGACTTATTGTAATTTATGTTTTTTAGACATTAACACATTTTTAGAAACAACCTTTTCATTTTATTTTACAAAGAAAATATTAGTTTTTAAAAAAGAATCATAAAGGTTCCAGCCTAAAATAAAGAACTCTTTCCAGCATTTTTATCTTCAATAGTTTTATATCGTTTTTCAGAACTTCTTTATTTGAAATAAAGGCAATTTTTTTGTGCGTGTTTTGTTTTTGTTTTCCCAAGAAGACCTAACAGTGGTGTCTCAGAACACTGCGAAAAAGTACTTAACTCAGAAATTCAATTCTCATTAATTACCGATGAAACAAAATATGTCAAGAGCGCGCATTGAGCCCTCTTACTTCTAAACCAACGTTCTAACCACTGCACCAGGAATGCTTTTTGGAATATATATTTCACGGTCAGATGACTTAAATCTGACCGTGAAATTAATAAGTAAAAAGGTTTTAAAAAAAATTTAAACTTCCTTTTTGTATTATCATAAACTATTATTTGCTACTAGTTAAAAAAAAAAAAAAATTTTTTTGTCAAAATTTTTTTCCTGATGAAAAAAAAGTTCTACAAATTTTGCACTCAATAGTACATTAATAACCATTATGTTACAAGGAGGGGGGGGGGGAGGGTAGAGGGTATGGGGGATCAGAAACACGGCTCTGATGTAATTTATGCGTTGTATACATTCAAATACTATTATTCCAATAATTTAAAAGCATGTATTTATCTTGTGACCATGCGTGTCATGAAATTTGGATGAATAATGTTTATACTAATTCTAAACTTTTACCTAAGTATTGTTAATTTTATAGATTATATAAATATACTTTATATCAGAAATAAATTTTTAAAAATCTTTAAAAACGCAAAGCATTTTTTTTTGAAAATAAAAACAGAAGAAACTTTTTTTTGTAGCATTCAGATGGCTAGGATGTTAACCCTAGAGATATAATTTAAAGATTATCTCAGAAAAAAGTTATTTTTTTTATTTTATTTATATAATAGTTATATGTAATACAACAAAGGCTTTTTTTAAAAAAAAATTATTTTGATTGCAAAAACTGTTGACTTTTAATATTAATACAAAGATAATGTATACATCATTTTTTAAATTATATTTGTATTTTTAAAAATTATGATAAATAGTGTTGTTTTGATGTTTCTACATTTATTCAAAGCAGATTACAACGATAATCTATGCTTTACTGGTAAAATACCGTAAAATGCCGTAAAAGTAAAATGCCGGTTGCAAATATGCCAACAATTGTTATTGAATTCGAACAAAAAAATGTTACATCATCTCCAAAAATATCAACTTTTCAAGACATTTCAAGCCGCATAAAAGTAACAAGAAATTGAGGCAGGAAATTGATTAGATAGTTCAACGCATTACTCGTGTACAAATCCAACAAAACGTTTTGTATTTATATATGTTATATATATTAAATGTTTGCATATAATTGGCTACAATAACTTTTATTATTTACTACGCTGGGTTAATTTTGACCTACTCCTAATATAAAGCTGTAGGTGTTACGTTAGGGCTAACAAAGCATTACAATTACGGTTGTGTTGGCACATGTCAGGCAATCAAATCAACATGAACCATGCATATTTTATTAGATTTGTGTTACATTTGTATACTGTTGGTCTAGCTTAGCATTTTATAACCATGATCTATTACGGAATTTAGAGTGTTAAACTTTCCAGTCATTAAAGCTAAGAATTTTTATAACTAAAATAGTGTTATATTTAACTTGTTTAGGTGAATACTTTTGTGGTTTATTCTCCTCTAACTAGTTGTCCTACAGAGGCCGCAAACCTAAAGTATAAAAAGTTTAATAAATAGTTAGACGATCGCAGGCCCCAGAAAAGAAAGCAAAAACAAATCAAAGTTACATCGTTAAAGCATGAACTTTTAGCAACAACAATGAGCATGAAGAATGTAATGTAATTTTATAATTAGATGAACAGATTAATGCATTATTTATAAAAACTTAATATGTCAATGTTTTCTATACAATTTGTTAAACAGAGATACCTAGTTAATTACGGTGTTTGTTTTAAAAACAACGCATTTTCCAACATTATGGAAACTATACTTCTTTTATGAACGAACGCAAGTTTCCATCTGTATATATTAAGGTGAGTTTCCACTCATCCGTTTTTTCACGGGAACGGGATAGGAAAGGGAAAAATAATCATGTAAACATGCGTAGTTTTCCTTCAAACGTATTAAAACTTATACTACGCATGCCCACGTGATTACTTTTCCCGTCCCTTTCCTTTCCCGTTCCCGTGAAAAAACGGATTAGTGGAAACTCGCCTTAATGCTGTTATGCCAATTAACATAAAAATACGTTTGGTATAAATGCAAATTTAATAATGTTGCGTCATCAAATAGGATTTTAACATAGTAAAAAAGTTGTTATTCTAACTTCTTTCCTAAGTGCTACTGCGTTACTACCTTACGTTTATACAACGCTAAAACAAAATATTGCGCAAATTTGTTTTTGTTTTTAAATTCTATTTAGTCATACACAACTTATGCTGCATTAAAGTTTTTAAACCAGCAGGTAAATGTCAGATAATACACTTACGTCAGAGAATACATTTACATCAAATAATATACTTAAAATCATATCATCTAGTCTTGATAATATATATTTTTTTAAAGCAATAAAATGTCCAAGTAAGTATTTTTCTTATCTTCATATCTAATGTTATTCTTTTTAAATTCTTATTCAAGGTTCTTTAAAACCAACAGGTAAATGTCAGATAACATTCTTAGGTCAGATAATAGACTAACGTCAAATAATATACTTAAAATCATATCAGCTAGCCTTTATAAAATTTTTTTTTGAAGCAATAAAGTGTCCAAAAGTAAGCATTTTTCTTATCTTTTTATTTAATGTTGTAATTTTAAATCCAAAATTTAAAGATCTCCATAACGAACCAGAAAGTAAAGACAAATACGTAAAATCTCTAAAAATTTGAACTTCTGTACAAGTGCATTCAGTGCATACATTCATATATACTGTCAAGCAGCAAGCTGGCATGTAAGTAAGTAAAAACACAAGCAACATTATAATAAATGATTGATTAACTTTTTGCTCCGCAGTTTTTTTTTTCAACTCAATGTTTTTAGTAGTGTTGATGTTAACGGCTTTATTTTTTACATGGTTTTTTTTTGACATTGGTAGTATAAAAGTAGAATTTTGACTTGAATTAATGTTTGATAGATTATCTTCATTAGTTTTATAAGTAACACTGTGTCTTTGATTAAAATTGCAATAAGCTGGAAACCTCGTTTTATAAAGATAGACAACTGCTAACAGAGATATACATGTTATGGTTAATGTTGTAAATGCAAAAATACCAAGGTAATAAATATATCCTACTGAAAAATAAGGTATAACTAGTAACCCTGAAACTGTCCAAGTAGCAACAAGAACCATTAAACACATCAGGTTGGACAAAGAATTTCTGTAATAAGCTATTGGCTTAATTAGTGCGATAATGCGATCAATACATAATAATGCCATGGATAAAATGGAAGCGTTGCTTAACACAAAAAGTTCTAAATGAACTAGAAAAATGTCTTGATTGTAAATTTTTATTCTCATGGCTTCTTTTATATGAAATGCAATTGAACTAATGTCACCTAAACTTCCAATCAGTAGGTCTGCGATTGC